CTGTAAAAGATCTGTACAGATCTCCTCAGGTAACTCACCGAGGTAGCTACTGCTGGAAGGACAAATCTTTGACTGAAGAGGAACTGAAGCCTAGGACCCTGCAGAGAGGGCAAAAGGACTGGAAGAGTTTTCAGGATTATGTAGAAAGACAACAGATGCTAGAAAAACACAGAGGGGCTCTCCCACAGAGAGGAAAGGAGACATTCAGCTGTCAAAAGCTGACCCATACTCTTCCACAAAACAAAACAAAAAATATATGCAGCATAACGTGCAGGAGCACACACAGACGCCTGCAATGCAGATGCCTAGGGATGAAGAATACAAAACCCACACAAGTGTTCCTTATCATTTGTCTCTGTCTTCCCTGTCTTTTCCTTTCGGAGCCATTTCCTTTTTGCAAGACAAAACTCTGAAATTGCTGGAGATGCTATTTCCTTGCTCCTGGGCCTGAATTAAGGCTGAAACACAGTGAGACACACTTACTTTTCCGCAATACCTCTCTCTGCTTCCCTCTTGAAAGTCTCGGAGAGATATGATGTGGAGAAGCACCTGGCTGAAGCTTTGCAGCAGAACTTAAAAACAAGCCAGCTTCACTAAACACCCTTATTAGTTCACCTAATACAGAGATTTGGAGATTGGGAGTCTCTTGCAGTCTCTGGAGCATTAAAAAGCTCAAAGCAGGTCATTATCTTTTCTTTACACTTTTCAGTTTGGAGAAGCATACCCGGAGGAGATGATCTCAGTTCGTATGATCAATGGGACCTTGGGCAAGGAAATCAAAGAGGACAAACCACAGAACCACAGTCTATCTTTCATGCTTAAATTTTGAACAACTTCACAGAGAAAATAATAGTTCCAGAAGTGCTTATTTTGACTTTGCCAGACCAAAATTATATAATCACAGAGTCATGTTTTTGAGGTTGGAAGGAACCAAACCACAACGCAGAGCAACTTCAAAGGTACGACTTCAAAGATTGACTGGGTCACCCAGAACCCTATTTCGTTTTAAAATTCTCAAAGGATGGAAATTTTACAATCTACTTGGGAAACTCCTAGTGCTTGACCAGCCTCACTTTGTATTTCCCAATATCAAACTAACACTTCCCTTACTGTGACTCAAACACCATCCGGTGTTTGCCCACACTCATGGTGAAATATTTTTTTCCTAACATTTTACCTAATATATTTTCCTGTGTTGCAGCTTGGCTCTTTGCCTTTCACATTGCCAGTGTGCTCCTCCAAACCAAATGCTCTAGTCCTCTGTATCCACCTACAGGGTATTTAAAGGCAGCAAAAAGATTGTCTCTTCTCCAGGAAGCATCCAGATGTCTCTGTCCAAGCAATCTGCAAGCAGCAGTCTGCCCAGGAGCCTTTGCAATGACACAGAGGATGAAGGACAGCGACTATCAAGTTCTGCTCAAAATTCTTTGGTTCCCAGGTTGGAAATAGCCTGCTGGGCTTGAATGTGTTTTTTTGCACCCTTTCAGAGCTGCGTGGGATGAGCCTTCCCATGCTGTCCCACCCCAGTGTGTCATTAGGACTTTCTCACCGTCTCCTGAACAGAGCGTCCTTAGCAGTGCCGTGCAAATGTGCTGAGGCTGCTCTGACCTGCTAAAGTGGCGCTATCGACACAAACTGTTCTTCTCTGCTGGATCTTCACCTTTATGATTTATGATTTTTAACCTTCACAGATTTCTACGGCCCTTCCCTGCAAATATCCAGAGCTGAGAGCAGGCCACTAGTCTGTGTCCAGGATCGCAGGTTTTAAAACATTTCTAGTTCCTCATTAGGGGTTATAGGCTATGTTCTAAGGTTGTTAGGGTAAGAAAACCTAAGACACAAACACTAGGGCCTCTGAGAGGGCAGCTCCTCCATATTTCCATCTTCTTCTGTATATCCCAGAGGGCTCTAGTGATGCCGGTTCGGCTTGGTCACTGCCTTTGCTCTGTGTTAAGTGCTCAGTACAGCTGAGCAGATCATTACCCAGAGCTGGAAAAGAAACAGTCCAGGAATATTACCCACTTCTGGAGCTGACAGCTTCCAGAAGGCATAAGGCTCCCTCCTCCAGCACCCAGGCACCTTCTGGGCTTGCAGCTGGAGTTCTTAAACCCAGGACAAGCCTTCTTCCCCTTTCATTTTAGATGTCACCCCATGCTGCCCCCTGATTGCCTCAGTTCCCCTTCCTTACTGATTTGCATCTGCAACAGTGCAGGAAATTGCAAACAGCCCTTTGCAATGCAGACACAGAGGGAGGGGGAACATGTTTTGCGGATCACCCAGGAACATTTCAAGTGCAGCAGTACTGCTCTGTCCCTGCTCTTGCACAAAGTACAAGGTAGCCTCCCTCCGTGCATCTTGTGCAACTTGTGCAGAATGCCACTAAGCTGTGCAGCAGCAGCCTGGATCACTCAAACCTGGCATCATTTTTGTCCCTGTATGAAACCCAGAGCTGGGCAGACTCTCACCAAGGCAAAGGATCCCTTCCGAAAAGGAGGGACCTCCCTTGCTTGCCTCTCTCCTTCTCTGTCCTGGGTCCAGGACACCCCTGTCTCCACCCCTTCTGCAAGGATCCATAGCAAAATATGAGTTCCAAACTGAAAAACAAAGTGATGGAGAAACAAACAGAAGGGATATTTTTAAAAGCCTGCTAGGAAACCCCAAGAAAAAAAAATAAGACAATAAAGTTTCTTGCACTACAGAGGAGGAAATTCTGCAGAGACCAACCAGCCTGGAACATCTTGTAAAATGGACTCATTTAAAGTGGTCCCATGTTCATCATGTTCAGATGCTTGGGTGCTGTGAAACCCTTCCTTAACTGGCATTGTCCATCCTAAAGACATCCATGAGGTTAGGGCTGCTTTCTGATGTCTTGTCTGTGCAGTGCTGTGGCCACAGGGACATCTTAGCTTTCGTTTATGAAAAATACAGGAAAGGGGAACAGGTCTGCAGCCTTGGGAAGAAAGAAGTGAAAAAGCTAATCTAGCTAATGCTCTATCTCAGAAATAATGCAAGCACTTTCAATAGCAACATGGTTTTTAAGCGCACACCTGATTTTGAGGACATGCGTCACATTTTCAGGCAAGTGGAGGCACTGTGTAAGGAAATCTCTTCAAAGAACCCAGCTGCAAACCTGGGTGGAAGGCAGCCGCTTACCTCTCAACCCCACACTGGAAAATTCCCAGGCTCGCTGCCTTTGCCCTCAGTTTTCCCAATCTGGAAGCCTGTGCTGAGGACCAGCTCCCCAAAGCCTGAGGAAGGGATTTTTGCAGATGTTCCTTGCTCTCAGGTTCACCCCTGCCATGCCTTGGGGACATGCCGGTAGCTCCCTCCAGTGAGTGAGCATGATGCACAGCATGGAAGCTCTGCCTGCAGCAGATGGGGCCCCACAGTGACGCTCTGGGCACTGAGGAACATCTTGAGCATCTCCCCAAGCCCAGACGCCCCATGCAGTACCAGTCCTGCCCTGCACCAGCTCCGGCCATGCTCAGACCCAGTGCTCAGGCTCCCTCCATCCATCTTCTTGCTGTCATCGCGCTCATGCCGCCTCTCACACCTCCTCATCTCCGCGCTCGATACCTGCCCGACGGCAAGAGACGGGAGCTGCCAGCGCTGCTGACAGTGGGAGATGAATGGGTCCGCGTCGGCGCTGCAGGGCACAGGGAAGGAGGGATGTGCAGAGCGGTGGCGAACGCTTCAGTCTTGGGAGCCATCTGCAGGGCTGAGACCCTATGTCCCACCAGATGGCCCCGAACTCCCTCCTCGTGCCTTTTGGCCTCCTAAGCAGATTCCTTCCTCTCTTGCATTGGTCCCAGTCCAAAAACCTCAGCTCCAGCTGAGATTATGCTGTCCATGTAGCCCACTTTGGCTACTCAAGACATCACCAGAGTCAGATTTGTATCCCTACCCCATATGACAGCTGCAAGGAACTGAGAAGGATTTTAAGCACCAAGCACCTATGCAAAAGTGAAGCCTGAGCAGCTGCTTAAGTTAAGTCCAAGTTTATAGGAAGGGACTGGCTTTGCTGAAGCAATTAGTAGCAAAGTCCTGATGGGGAGATATTCAGTGTCAGCAGGACCCAGGCATTGCTGGAGAGAGAAAGCCTCTGGAATGCTGTTAGTGACCCACGTATAAGATGAGAACAGAGCAATAGTGCTGCAACAACCTCCCCCACAGCCATGGACAGGACACCTTGGACAAACATTTCCAAAGCTACCTGCTTTAATGAGGAGGGCACAGAACTCACAGAGCTGGCAGACTGTGACTACAGCAGTCACGTCCCGGCTTTGAAGTGCCTCATCCACCACACAGGCTTGATGCAGACACAGTTTTCCAGCTTGTCTTGTGCTCACCAGGTAATGTAGCCAACAGCCTAGTTTAGGTGCACAAGAACAAGCATTCTCTGTTGCCCCTTGCAGGAATCCTGGACAATCCAGGTCCAATTGTGCAAATGAACTGGTTGAGCTGGGGAGGAACGTGGCCTCTAGTTCAATCCCTGCACATAATGTCCCAGCTGCTACACCCTCCTGCACCCTGTTCCTCATTTTTCTTGCAGGAACACTGCATTTCAGAGGTCAGGTAGTCTCACTTCCCATCCCCAGCCATGACAGGGCCTCTTCTTTGACCTCTCTCTCTACCACGGGCTGTGCTACTAGGGTCTGGTAGGACCTAACTCTGGTAGTTGAGATAATAATGAGGGACTCATTAATAACCTATGCGTCTGTGACCATGCAGATGCTTGGTGGACAGTTACCCCACAGCCTTGGCCCCTTGGACAGAGCTCTTGAGCCCTGGTGCCCAGCACAGCAGTGCTCATCCCTCCTTCCCTGTGCCCTGCAGCGCCGACGCGGACCCATTCATCTCCCGCTGTCAGCAGCGCTGGCAGCTCCCGTCTCTTGCCGTCGGGCAGGTATCGAGCGTGGAGATGAGGAGGTGTGAGAGGCAACGCAAGCGCGCTGACAGCAAGAAGATGGATGGAGGGAGCCTGAGCACCGGGTTCGAGAATGGCCGAAGCTGGTGCAGGGCAGGACTGGCATCGTATGGCTGAACTTGGAGGCTCCCTGGCACATAAAACTGAGGCAAGGGGTGAGTCGTCCACGCAGAGGAGCCAAGGAGAGATGAGCATGCTGTGTGGGATGCAGTTAGCAGGGAGCACTGCCTGCACCTCCCCAGAGCCACACAGGCATTGCACGGACTCGCGCAAGATTGCCGCAGCCTCCAAGCACTGCCGTGTTTTTTAATAACGGGTGCTGATGGCAGCCTGTCGGACGAACTGCCAGAGGCTGTATTATGGATATCTGCAACATGCTAAGAGTGAGAATAAGGGGGAGGCAGGGGGGACACGCAACATCCACCTCCATCCTCATGCTGCCTCTCTGAGCAGCCAGGCAGGCAGGCAGGGGATGAGCTGCTTCCACCAGCCCATGCCTTCTGCATCCCTGTACTGCGGGGTGCTCTGCCTGGCACAGCACCCCTGCACCTGCATGCACCCAGCCCACCCCATGCACCATGGCTGCCCCTGCCACACGCCCTCAGCACCCCCTTCCTCCTGTCCTGAGTCTTGGGGGCTGCCTGGTCCTCAAGACCTGCCCCAACACAAAAAGAAGACGTTTCCACAGCCCAGCCCAGGTTACCACCACCCCATGATCAAGGACCCCAGCGCTGATGCTAAGCAATGGGCTTGGCCGCATGAACCTCCTTGCTGCTGCCATGCCCCACACCATGCCCGCCTCTGTAGGACTGATGCACCACCATTCCCATCCAGGACTGGGGTCTTGCTGGGCCAAGCTGTCATCATGGAGGTGGAGCATCTCCAGGGGACAATGAGTTGGTGAGATGTGACTGGAAAGGAAGGGGCTGTAGGGCCCAAGGAGAATGGGAGGAACTGGGCAACCAGGAGACAAATCCCACTGCCAAGACCAATTTGGGCTTTCTCTGGGGTGAAAGGGCCAGAGTAGCTCCAACCCTCCACCAGACCAGATATGTTGTATAAAAGGGCTAAGGAGACAACATGGCTTTGCTCCAGAAACAGACAGACATGGCCCTCCCTAGCCCGGGATCCCCTTGCGCCATGTCCAAGAGCACCAGCAGTGATCTCAGTCCAGCCTGGCCCCATCCCAGGGCCACGCTCGCCTCCCGTCCATCACCAGCTCATCAAGGCACCAAGGCTGTGGGGAAGAGGGGAGGGATGTGGCTCCGCAACGCCATGAGGCAGCCAGCCCCCCGAGGACCGCTGCTGCTCCGGCCTGCTCGTCTCCACGCTGCGCAGCCGGGGCAGGGGAGTCTCCACCCCCAAGCAGGAGGATAAAATCCCCAGCACGGGCGTGGGGGACCGGAGTCTGGAGCTGACGCTGCCTTGAGCTGTGGAAGGGGCTGCGGATCCCCACTGCGCGGAGCTGAGGGCCGGGGCCACAGCAGCCTCCCACCCGTTTGCTGCACTCATGACAGGTAAAACCCACCGGAGACAAAGCTTCTCGGGTCCCGCTGGTGGCCTCCTTGGTGACCAGGTCCCCACGCTCCATGTGCCTGTACAGGAGCCCAGGGTGCCCCTGGGGTGATGGGGTGCATGTGGGGTATTCAGGGAGCCATGCGCTGCTGGGCTGCCAAGGGCCGATGCCTTGCGGGCATCTTGCACCCTTCTGTCCCCTCCGGGATGAGCTGGCACCATGGGGCAGCTCACATAGGCAAGGGGACCCATTGCAGCAGCACCTTGGATTTAGCGTGTGCATGCTAGGAGGTGGGGCAAAAACAGGCTACGCGAGGGGCCCAGATGCCTGGGTCTTTTCTCCATCTCAGCATACGGAGGACAGGATGGGGTGGTTAGTAGGCAAGAGTGAGGGGCAGGTCGCGTGAGTTCAATTCCCACATCTGGGAAGCAAGCAGGGATGTAAGAGCGGCCAGCCCTGTGCCCACGGGAGGGCTCTAGGGACCGCGAGGTTCCCGGACCGCAGCCCTGGCAGCGAGCGGTGGGGCCCAGGGCAGCCGCGCGACATCCCCCTGCTCCTCGGCAGCCTTCCTGGCCGCAAGCCTGAGCA